TATATATATATATATATATATATATATATATATAGAAAAGTATATAAAGAGAACATTTTACTTTTAACACAAGGGGGGTCACAATAATTTATGTCCTTTAGATTTCAAATTGGGTGGTTATGAGCATATCATTGACTAGACTCATAGTTTTAAAAAAAAAAAATCTATCCAATTCAACATCTAATAGTTAAAAATCTACCCAATTCAACATCTAATAGTTAGAAGTAAGGACATTGTTTTTATGAGTCCATGCAGAAATGAGTCACTTATTAAAAATTTATTTTTAAGATGGATGTTTTGACTTAAATTTTAAGGACATGTAATCTCTAACGAAGATGAAAAACGAAATAAATTTTAAAATATATAAATTATAATTTTATATAAAAAAAATTGAACTATTTATTTAAGAGAAATGACCTTTTGAGACCCTCTCACACTCATGTGTGTAGGACCCCAAAGGATTACTATTAAATTTGGCATAGATCTCTAGAAAAATCAAGTCCCTCTTTTCTAGATATTTGTACCAAATTTAATGATGATCTCTTGAGGTCTCATAGGATCATTACTCTTATTTCAATTGTTATTAGATGGACCACCTATTTGTATCCATCTTTAAGATGTATGCTTTATACTTCAACCGCAAATATAGAAATGCAGTCCCCGCCACATGAAACAATTTTCCTAGAGTATGTGTGACCTAAGAAAAGATAAATAGTCTCATGATATTATAATACCCTTTCAAGATAAGGTACTGTTTGTATAGAGCTGAGGCTCTAAACAATCAAAGTAAAGCACACCTTCAAATAGTATCGAGAAATATAATTTTAATATTGAAAATAGTTGTGATAGCCTTAAAATATAATTTTATTTTTATTTATAAAATTTGAAACTTCAAAAACAATGTAGATCTATCAAAACTTGCAAATTAACGGTCCAAAAAATACGTTACAAGATGCACTATTTCCAAAACTTGAATCCATTTTTTTTCTCATGTTCATGCATCTTGATGCCGATATGATCAATTTGATGATATTTAGGCATCAAATGAATTTCTTCTAATGAAAATTTTTAGGTGGGCTCTGATTTGATTGTTTAAAGCCTCGGCTCTATATAAACTTTTTCTTTTAAGAAATATAATGTGATTTACATTGTGTAGATATATGCATACGAGTCCCTTAACCATTAGATGTTGAAAGGGACAGTTGGTGCTTCATTCTCCAGTCCAAGCACGCTTCACAACCGTCAGTGCTTAACGTCTGACGGTTGATGGAGGTCTTTATATTCACACAAAATGGAAAACAGACACCATGTGCTGTACAGAAATTTTAGAAACTTTCAAATTCAACGCTTTGCTTAAAACTGCAACTCCCCTATTTGTCTCCTTAAAAAATGGCGCCTACTTCTTGCTATTTCTGCTCTGCCTTAACATATCCCTTCTCTCTCCACACAATAAAACCAATTTCCTTCTCTCTTTATACCCTCCTAAATTTGGAAATCATCAACAGTTCATGAATCATTATTTTTTCTTTGTCTCCATATATCATTCTCAGACTGCATTCCCAATTTCATATATTTTTCAATATCTTTCTACCCTTCTAAATTTGAAAATCATCTACCAGTTCTTTTTTTTCTTTTGAACAGTTACAGTTCATTCTTCTTTGTCTTCATATATCCTTATATCTCTGTACTCCCAACTCCATAGATTTTTATCTCTGCACATTCCCCTGTTCCTGTATCATTCTCTCACTAATCTCTATAAATTTGTAAACCATATGCATCCCATTACCATTTCAGTCCTGCACAATACCAAGTGATTAAACCCAAGAAAAACCCATTTTTTTTATTGATGGATTCTTCCAAAAACTGGTATTCTGATGAAAATGGTGTTTATAAAAGCACATTCTCACCTGTTGACCTCCCAAAAGATCCATTTGTGGATGCGACTTCCTTCCTTCTCTCTCATAAACACCATGGAACTACAGCTTTGATAGATTCTTCGACTGGGTTTAGTATCAGTTATACACAGTTGCCACATATGGTGAAATCCATTGCCTCGGGGCTCCATGAAATTGGGGTCTCTCAAGGTCAGGTGGTGTTGATGCTCTTACCAAATATGGCATATTTTCCTGTCATTTTTCTAAGCATCATCTCTGCAGGTGCCATTGCCACCCCTATGAATCCTCTTAGTACTTTTAATGAGATTATGAAACAGATTAAATACTGTAATGTTGTTCTTGCCTTTACTGTTAGTGAATACTTGGGAAAACTTGAAAAAGCTGGTATTCCAGTTGTTTTAGTGAGAGAACATGAGGAGAAAAGCTCACATTTCGTTAGAGGAAAGGAAGAGAAAATTTCATGCTCAGGCTCCTCAAAAGTGGTTTCTTTTGATTGGGTTTTGTCCTGTGATCCCATCCATGCAACAAGGCCTAGAATTAACCAGAATGATATTGCGGTGCTGCTAAATTCGTCGGGTACCTCTGGCCCAAGCAAAGTTGTTGCCATTACACATCGGAATTTGATATCTACAGTTGAACTTTTTGTAAGGTTTGAAGCGTCGTTGTGTGAGAATGAGTACATGGGTTGGGAGACTGTTTATTTGGATGTGATACCCATGTTTCATATCTATGGTCTTGTTCTTCTGGCCTCTGGTTTGCTCTCATTAGGTTCTAAGATTGTAATTATGCATAAATTTGACGAGAGAGAAATGGCTAGATGTATTTCTGGGTATGGAGTCACGCATATCCCTGCTGTTCCATCCTTAGTGGTTTCTCTCACCAAAATTGGCAAAATGGACAATTATAGTTTTCGTTCCCTAAAGCAAGTAGTGAGTGGAGCGGCTCCACTAAGCAAGAAATCTATAGATGAGTTTCTCAAGGTTTTCCCTCATGTTGAACTCGGACAGGTAAAGGACTTCTCTATTGGTTAATTTCTTCTTTCTTCTTGTTGTTCATTCTATGACTGCTATTACAATTACTTGTCTTGGAACTTTATGTATTGTGATGTATGTAACTACGTATCATGTTGGGTTATTCAACAAGAATGTACAATAGATTCAAATAAGGGGCATTTTGATATTTGGTCCAGTTGTTTCTTTTCCAAAGAAATGTTGGTTTGGTGTTTACCTTGGCTTTTGGGTCTCCGAAAGCCATGTTTCAGAGGTTTTTCCTCTATCCTGGGGTATTAACTGCAGTGAAAACTATTAACCTCTTAATAAGTGCAAAATATAGAGAAAACCACAACATTGATCTTGAGCATATGGCTCTTAATTATCTGTAAGAGTGAAAACTAGGTTCAATGCTGAGTTCAAAGTTCGGGCTTTTCTTGAACCTGAACTTTTCTTGAATACAAGGTTGTAAGAGTGAAAACAAGGTTCAATATGAATACAAGGTTGTAAATTAGCCAAAAACCTGAACTTTTCTTGAACAACTGACTTGATCTTTTGCTTCAGCAACAAACCAATAGGCACAGGATGCTCTCTGTTTTCAAGCCTGACTTGGATATCCCTGAACGCGATCAGGTCCTCGTGAATAAACCCCCAAGATACAATTAAGCCTAGTGAAGCACTATGAAATCTTTTCTGAGTTTTATGCTCAGTAGAGGCCTATGAAAACATAGTCATCCAATTGATTTGCCTTCTATGTTCACTCTGCTTATATATATATATATATATATATATATATATATATATATATACTACTAGTAGTAGTAGTAGTAGTTAGTTAACTATTACGTTAGTTAGTTAGTTACGTTAGTTAAGTTAAGGTAGTACGAACGACGACGT